TTATTACCCCATTCGCAATCAGAACACACTCGACCACACACAGTATACTATGCAGGTTTGGAATCCATGGCTAATTTGTCACCAAACGCACTGGAATATTCACAGAGAACAGCAACCAAACTGGTCAAAGGGTTACAATCTAAAACCGATGGTGAAAGGCTGCATATTCTCGGACTCTATTCATCTCAGTATCGCCGAATTTGGGGAATCATGATTCCTGTATATCAAACGCTACATCAACCAAACCAACCGTGTAGTACTCTTGTAGGACTATCCACGAATGGTCGCTTCAGGAATTATCACATTAATAGCTTGCTCTGAAAGAGTCGGCCAGACGTCACTGTTTCAGCCTCAGCGTATGCTATATATACCTGGAGCTCTCTTCCACCTCAAGTTGTTTGTGCCCCAACCATCATTTAATTCAAATCACAGCTCGATGAATCATTGAAACACCTAATAATTCAGCACCTGTGAGTGAACGTTCTAATTTGCTGTCTAATTATACTACCAACCGAACTCAGTGTGTACAGATCCTGTGGGATTCAATAGGCATCAGCGCTGTAATTTACCCATAATAAAATTTCGGGTTTGAATCACAAGAAACCAGCTATTCCGTTAACTGCTTCCTCCTATATCCCATGTCGACAAAATATCGTGAAATAGATTAACGTTTTTGATGACTGTATCTATTCAATGAACAATGGTCGTGACTAGGGTTACAGAGAAGAAGTAATATTTAAAACTAATTTAGGTATGAAACAATCGTTTATGGTAAACAGCTGATAATTTGCGATTCGTGTTTTCCGTTATGCTGCTCTAGTATCTGGTCGAAATACATACTGGACAGTTTACGATTGAACTGAAGCAAGCCTTTCCCCATTGAAATTGAGGAGACACACTGAATGCTGTTGGGTCACGTGACCCCTGAGGTCAAAAATAGAATGATATCGATCAACAGTGTTTCTTATTCAACAGTGGGAATCTACGCTTACATGCCTTGACCCGAAAGTAAGAAACGTCACAGTTGGTGTATGTGTGTATCTGCGTGTAATGAGAAAGCGTACGACGGATGCGGACTCTGTTCGTTCTGCTTAAACACAGGTTCTACCAATGATTTATTCCATGAACAGTTTTACAGGGTGGGGATGTTTTGCTTTCGGGATTCTATATCACGTTCCCTTAAGATCACACTCCTCGTAACATATTGACTGTTCCTTAGGAACATGTATTCAGTAGGACTGATTGGTAATGATAATGATTGATAATGATTTCGTTTGGCATAAAATGAACTCAAATCATGAGAATATCAATACCAGTCAAAATTTATTACTGTTTTCATGATATATTATGTATGATTATCTGAGAATAACGGTCGGAACGACCGGACAGAAGGGCGGTGATCCGCTCAACTTAAAAAAATTTGTACGGCTTTGAGCATGTTGTATTGTGTAGGTGAATTTTAAGTACCCCCGCTTTCTATCTCTATATATACGATACGCTGCAAACGAGGAATCTAGAACGGTGTTAGTAATTCACTTTTGACTAGTGTGATGGAATGAGTAAGCTTTAATCTCGCGGTTCAGGCTATGTGGGTTACTTGACAATTTGCAGATCGGTCACAAAGAAACAAGTAGCCAGAATAGCAGACTGTATGGTAGTCACTAGAGCATTGAATTATGCTTCCGTAATCCACGACAAATTGCAGACATTACAGAACCGTGAAATAGATTAACGGTCGCCCTTGATGCACAACAAACTGCAGTCACGTAATCCTGGGGGACATTGTGGATCAACGAGAACCGTTAGACTTTATTCGTTGAATTGAAAGATATGTTGGCAACAGTTAATTGAACCTCTTTCACGTCGTGCCTTCTGTGTTGCAGCAATGTGGTTAATGATCAACTAAAAAGTTTGGACAATGGTGACGGTAAATCATTGATATTTGTCATCAATCCGTTACTAGTCCTTTATGCGAGACGCATTTGCTACCTGTGATGAATAGCCTACAAGACATAGAAAACATGTGCTACTCGTCGTCTCCGTTCGTCGGATAACCACAGCGGCTGTTTGTGGATCCGTTAAGTACCGTCAAAAGTCAAACTTAATTTTCATTACTTTCATACGACTTTGTTCAGCTGGAGAATAAGTTGGTTCCGCGGTCCACAATGATTCCCGGGATAAGCACCAGAACCGGTGTCCCTCAGGTCGTTCTCTCCGCTAGTGAAAGCCACAACCGTAACAGGTATACATTCCAATTCAGCCTAAAAATCACCAGACCTACTCCAGACAAGCCGGTAGTCCGTAGTTTTGTTCACTGGTTTACTTTATAAGTCATAAGGAGATATAAGGAGATAAAGAGCGGCGGCGTAGTTAATATGTGAAAACTGAACAGCAGTAAAGGTACACCTCATACATTTAGAAAGAACGCATGACAACTGGCACCAAAAGTCTCGGGTTATTGGAACGCCGAAGCTCATGGTTATCCTTGGAGCTTCATAATGTCACCGTCGGGCCCTTTTACTGAGACGATGCTTTCCAAGCCAAGCCCACAATAACCTCGAGCTCAGCTGCCTCGCGCCGCTGGCCCCTTATCTGGGAACCTTAGGTCCTTTGTTATTCACGACCATGCCCCACTGTATTATCCGTTCCCCCAGCCACGCCTGGTAGCGATGCTATTAGTGCAGCTTGGGTCTAGTTCCAGTTGCGTATGGCCAATCGTGTTTCGCTCTGGCTGATTTGTTTGTTTAAAGCGAAATTTGTTTGGCACGTTATGAGTCCGTTTTATCATTCCATTGTGTACACCGAAACAGACTCGCTCTTTCAGGTTAAAAATTGGTGTACCAAAAACATTGCTTGAAATGGAATTCGCTAAACTACGTAAAATAAATTACCATCCCCTTATTTAATTGATAGCCGAAGGATTTCTGCCGAATAAATATTTGAAAAAAACCATTCCATTTCAAACAATTGATGGAATGTTTTCCATTTCGACTGTTCGCCGAACTTGGCAATTTGTTTGCAAACGTTTCATCGTCAGTGCTTGTAATGTCACCTCAACTGGCGATGAAACGTTTGCAAACAAATTGTCAAGCTCAGTGAAAAGGCGAAATGGAATTCAGTTCACCCGAGCTACGAGAACCAATCTGCAACATTTTGTCAACAGATGGAATGTTTGTTTGAAAGAATCTCGCGACGTGTTTTGTTTGCCCTCTTTTCTGTTCAAGTCGGCGATAAATTCCGTTACTGCTGCAATTGTGAGGCCGAAATTCCAAATCAGTAGACAGGACTCATGTGCCCTGTTCGTAGGTCTATTTGTTATTTCTTCTTTCGAAGTTCTTTCTGATCATCCTCAGATTCGGCCTAATTGCTAACCAGACACATTTTCCCGAAGTTACGCTTCCGTCCAAAGCTGCCTAATTCGGGTCTTGCGTATTATCGGTCAGCTAAAACTAATTGAATAGTTTGTCCTCCACACATTGTTTGGCCGACAAATCCAGAAAAT